CTGAGGAAAATCTAGATGGTAGTAGGTTAAGGCACCCACGAGACTCGGAGGCGTGGAAAGCATTTGATGCAAAATTTCCAGACTTTGCCAATGATCCTAGAAATGTACGTCTTGCATTGGCAACCGATGGTTTCAATCCCTTCGAAAACATGAGCACAAGTTACAATATCTGGCCGGTGGTGTTAATTCCATACAATCTACCACCTTGGATGTGCATGAAGCAGAGCTCCTTTTTGCTTTCCATGATCATTCCTGGCAAGAAAGCACCAGGAAATGATATTGACGTATACCTGCAACCGTTGATACACGAATTGATCGACCTATGGACGAATGGTGTTGAGGCATATGACTCACATGACAAGCAACTATTCAATCTCCGTGCAGCCTTGATGTGGACAATAAGTGATTTTTTCGGTTTGGGAACTTTGTCTGGCTGGAATGTGCATACTGGGTTGGCCTGTCCTGAGTGCAATTTTGATTCTGTGCCATGTCGCCTTCCACACAGTCGCAAGTGGTGCTTCATAGGACATCGACGGTTCCTTGATTCTAAGCACAGACTTAGATTGCAACGGATTCGCTTCGATGGGAAACAGGAGAAGAGAGATCCTCCTGTTACTTTGTCTGGTATGGATATTTTGCGGCAGTTAGAAGATGTTCATGTTGAGTTTGGTAAGAGTGTGGATCTCGAACGATTGGGACGACGATCTCCTGGGACATCTGATACGCAACCTATGCAATGGCGGAAGAGAAGCATATTTTTCACTCTTCCTTATTGGGAATCTAATTTGCTACGACACAGTTTGGATGTTATGCACATTGAAAAAAATGTGTGCGATAATGTGCTATATACGTTGCTCAATGAAACTGGAAAGTCCAAAGACCATCTCGCAGCTAGAAAAGATTTACGGGCCTGGGGAATTCGTGAAGAGGCTTGGCCTGATGAAAACGACAAGTTTCAGCCAGCTAAATTCACCTTGACAAAGCATAACAAGGATATCTTCCTCTCGACGTTGAAGAACATAAAAGTACCAGATGGATATTCTAGCAACATCTCAAGGTGTATCGATCTGCAGGCTCGAAAGGTTACTGGGTTGAAAAGTCATGACTCTCATGTTCTTATGCAACAGTTACTTCCATTGGCCTTGAAAAACACACTTCCTTCTGATGTATCGGTGGTTTTGGTAGAATTATGTTCATTTTTCAAGAAGTTGTGTGCGAAGGTCTTGGTAGCGGAAGAGCTTGATCAGCTGCAAAATAAAATTATTCTTACACTTTGTCACTTGGAGATGATATTTCCTCCATCATTCTTTACTGTTATGGTTCACTTGACTGTCCACCTTGTTCGAGAAGCAAAGGTTGCTGGCCCAGTTCACTATCGATGGATGTACCCTATAGAGAGGTACTAGATTATCTTTTATTCCCGCCTCTTTAAATTTCACATTGTTCTTTCATTTACTCGTAATTATTAATGCAATTTTAACTTACAGGTACTTGGGAAAATTAAAATCATATGTTAGGAATAAGGCATGGCCTGAGGGGTCAATAGCAGAAGGTTATTCCGGAGATGAGGTCCTAACTTTCTGTTCGAGGTACTTTGATGACATGGAGACATCTTTTAACCGCCCGCGTCGCGTAGATGATTCTCCTCCTGGTCCTTCCACGTCAACTTTATTTCCTCCTGTTGGGAAACCAGTTGGAGGATATGAATTCTTCAGACTCACTCCTACAGAGAAACTCCAGGCACACAGACACGTTTTGATAAATTGCAGCCAAGTTGAACCCTTCATGCAGTAAGTATATATATCATATAAGCTCACTAGCTTTTACACTTTATATTTGTTTCTTACTGACTCTTCTAACAAATTACACTTTACTATAGTGAGTTTAGGAGTTATCTCAGGCGTCAGCTACGGGGCCGTGCGCGTTCTGCTGACATTGATAAAAGAGTCCACAAAGAGTTTCCCAGTTGGTTTACACGTTGAATACGTAATGACAACAGCCCATACACAGATGAATTCAAAGCTCTTTCTCTCGGTCCGTTAGACCATGCACGAAGGTTTACCGCGTACAATGTCAACGGCTTCAAGTTCTGTACGGTTGGACATGATCAGGGATTGCTCACACAAAACTCTAGAGTTTGCGGGACATTCGGAACGAGATGTTATACTAGCAGTAGTGATGGCGATATGCGCTTTGGAGGCGTCACTTACTATGGAAAGCTAATTGACATTATTGAGTTGAGTTACCAGCTTTTCACCGTGACACTGTTCAAGTGCTCCTGGGCAAATACGACAACTTCACGGGACTCGCTACTGACCATTTGGGCATCACCTCAGTTAATTTCTCTAGACTTATTCATACGGGGGCATCTGAAGATGATGAGCCACATATCCTTGCTTCTGAGGCACACCAAATTTACTATGTCGAGGACGAGAAACATAAAGACTGGAATATGGTCGTTCACCTCAAGCCACGGGATCTTTATGATATGGGTGATGGTGACATTATTTACGATAGTGAACCCTTCCAACCCTCGAATTTTGAAGACTTCTTTCCTCAAGGAGATGATAATTTGCCAATTATCAGATACACGTCTTTTCTTAAATTATTTAAATAATTAACTACTAATTACTAATTTTTTCCAAATACATTATAAATTTAACAAATTTTTTTAAAATGTGTCCTTTCAGGCCGGATGATGATGGAGAATAGCAGCATCTAAAATAAATTATTAAAAAAATTTTCTATCCATAAATACATATGTATAAATTAAAATTCGTACAGTTTTTTTAAAAATAAAAAATGTTTAATTTGTAGCGGTTAAATAACCACTACAAATTTATTTTACAAAATTATAATTTGTAGCGGTTATTAACCGCTACAAATACATATCTATAAATTAAAATTCGTTCAGATATTTAAAAATAAAAAAATTAAATTTGTAGCGGTTATTAACCGCTACAAATATATCTATAAATTAAAATTCGTTCATATATTTAAAAATAAAAAAATTAAATTTGTAGCAGTTATTAACCGCTACAAATATATCTATAAATTAAAATTTTTTAAAAATAAAAAAAATTAAATTTGTAGCGGTTAATAACCGCTACAAATAGAAACGCTACAAAGTACTAGCGGTTATATATACGCTAGAAAATGAATAACAGCTACAAAATACAATGAAACGCTACAAAGTCACCGCTACAAATGTGTCGCTGATCTCTATAAATACCATATTTTCTACATTTATTTACTCCATCTCTTTTCTTTCCTCTCCTATTCTTCTTCATAATTCTCTCTTTTTTTCTTACTATCTCATATATTGGTTTCTTTCTCTTTACTGTATGGTAAGTGAATTTTATTTTATAATTCATTGTATCTTTTATTTGTTTTTATTTAAAATTTACTAACATATTTATTTCTCCTTTTCTTTCAGATTTTTCTTCTCCACACTTGTCATGCCCTCCTCAATTGATTCAAATACTCCTCAACCTAACACTATAGGTTCAATATTACAAAATATATCATCTTCAATTCAACTATCTTATTAAATATTCAATTAAATTATCTTATTAAATTAAATTCACTTCTTTTGACACATTCATAATTTAATTACATATTGTTTATTACAAAATTTAAATATATAAAATGTAACATATAACTAATTGTACAAATTAACAAAAATTCTTCAACATAATTTATTTAATGGTTTTTAAAATTATTATATGAAAAACCAAAAATTTTTTTTTTCTGGCATGGTAAACATTTCTAGCGGTTACGAACCGCTAGAAATATTTCGTCAAATTTAAATTTTGCGCCAAAATTTCTAGCAGTTCAAACCGCTAGAAAATTTTTTTGCCGCCATTCCAGAAATTTAATTGGCGGGAAAATTTAATTTCCCAAACATTTCTAGCGGTTCTATAACCGCTAGAAATTTACGCGCACTACTGAAATTATTTATTTCCCGGCAAAATTGATTTGGTTTAGCATGTTTCTAGCGGTTATAAAACCGCTAGAAATTTTATTCCGGGCACATTTTCTAGCGGTTTTATAACCGCTAGAAATGTTTTTCCTTTATATATTTTCTAGCGGTTATGAACCGCTAGAAAGTTTCTAGCGTGTTGACCATATTGTGTAGCGGTTGCCATAACCGCTAGAAATTTTTTCTTGCGCCTGTTTTTCTAGCGGTTTTGTTAACCGCTACAAATGTTATTTGTTCCGGTTAAAACCACTAGAAATGTATCACTCTAACCACTACAATTGACATATTTTTTTGTAGTGCCAAGTGAATATATAAACATGTATTTATTGAGGATACATATTGATATCATATGCAGAAATTGAACCATGCAAAGCTATAAAGTAACATAAATTTAAAGAAGTAAAAACTTGACTTCACTACTTGTAAAATACATATCTTCAGTTGAGTAACACCACTTTGTCTTCCCTTGCAGAGTTTGTTCTAAAGACTCGAGGTGACTTATTGAAACAGGCATAACAAGAACCTGCATATAAATTACAAAAAATATTAAAGGTACATAAAAGCATAAATGAGCTAAAACAATCAACATTATAATTTTTGAAAAAAAAGAAAGCTTATAGTTAAAACATGATCCAAAAAGTTTTTCACTCACCATAATGCCATTAAGGTTTTCAATGGAAACGGTTCATCTTGAGGACCACCATTACATAAAACTTGTCTCTAATGTGATAAAGGAATCTGAAAAAATAATGCCTGCAATTCTTGTTGAAAAAGATGGCACCACACACTACCTAAAAAGCCGCGCCAAATCCAACTCCCAAGCCCATGTAGAATGAATTGAAAAATTCATCATCTTGACTATCATTTTCTTCAACGGGTCTTGTGTCTTTTTGATCTGCACAATTCTTTGGAAGTGGAGCCCCGCAGAGTTCAGGATTGCCAATATAACGTTGTGCATCAAACCCTTGAAGCTGAGTTCCTATTGGGTTCTTTCCAGAAAAATTGTTGAAAGAAAGGTTCATGGCTTCCAAAAAGACAATTGAGCCATACTTTGAGGAATTTCACCAGAGAGTTGATTGTTTGCAAGATCAAGAGACTCCAACTGTTTCAAGTTGCCAATCTCTTTTGGTGTGTTCCCTTCAAATTGATTACGGTACAAGTTCAGGGAAAGCAATTCGAAGAGGCTAAAAATTTCTAAAGGTATCATTCCAGATAAATTGTTACTCGATAGATCAATACTGCGCATCAATTTCAAGTTTTCTTCATAGTACAATTCTTGGCCTTTTACATGTACCACAGCTTTGTCAATGAATTTGTAAACAACACCTTGAACTCTGATGCAAATGCTGGAAAGTTCTGAAGAATGAGGGAAAGCCATGGCTTTCATATTATGCAGGCAAGGTAGTATTGAACCAAATATTTTGTTCGCTGCAAAATCCAATACAATGAGGGAACTTAATTGGCATATCTGTGGGGGAATAGTTCCACTAAATTGATTAGATCTTAATCAGAGAAACCTTGCATGATGTCCTAACCAATCTGGTATATATCCTGATAACTTATTTTCTCCTACATCAAGGTCCTGTAACTTCTGGCAATTTTTCAGTGATGAAGGTATCTCTCCGATTATGTCATTTTTCTTTGAGATCTAAAACAATAAGATCAGACAAAAAGCCCAAAGATATGGGAATTGTGCCTGTTAGATTATTGTTGCTGAGACTAACAATAGCTAACGACTGCAAATTCATCCAACTATCTGTTAGCTCACCTAATAAAAGATTACCAGACATGACCAAATAGACTAATTGGCTTCTCCCATTCGTTTTTTGACATAATAATGGAGAAAGGGCTCCTTCAAAAGAGTTGTCTCTTGCATTGAACCAGACAACATTTTGTGACAATTGGGGAAGGGTGCCTTTGATTTTATTTGAATATAACCTTATGTCTGTAGAGTTTAGTACCACACTAGAAATGTCCCCAACAATTGTGTTGTGAGTTAAGTATAAGCGTGGCACTTGGGCTTCAAGGTCCCAAAATTTGTCATGGGATTCCAATGAAAAGCTTGAGTTAGTAACTTGTAATAACTCAAGAGACGTTTGGGTATATAGCCATGCAGGAAGTTTGGGACTCATCATATATGACAAATCAAGTTGTTCAAGTTGAAAAGGAGGAAACCAACGAGAATCAAAGTTGAAGATCAAGCTTGGAGATCCCATGGAAAGATGAGTAAGCTTTGAGAGTTTGGCAAAATTTCTTTCAGATACATGCCCTGTCAAGTGATTATCATCAAATTCTAGTATCTCCAAGTTCAAAAGTTGCCCAAGACTTTCTGGAAGACTACCATTTAGAAGATTTGAGAAGAGACGGAGGTGAGTTAATGATGACAGATTTCCCAAAGTTGAAGGAATAGGACTTGAAAATAAATTTTCACTAACATCAACTTCTTGTAGATGTTCAAGTTGGTCTAACCAATCTGGAATCGATCCACTGAGTTTGTTGTGCTTTAAATACAGGATTTGTAGTTTTTGAAGGTTTAATAATCTCTTTGGGAATTGGTCTTGAAAATTATTATAGCTCAATTCAACATAAGTGAGGTAACTTAGATTGAATAGCCAACGAGGCAAGAGAGCTAAAATCGTTATTTGTAAGGCTAATGATTTCAAGTGAAGTAAGATTAACATATTGAGAGATGGATTGATGTTTCTAAGTTGACAACCATCAAAGTATAAGTCTACTATTGAAGGAAGAAGAGTTGGCAGTTGAATCCAGTTAACTTTCCCTTGAAGATTAATGCCACCGAGACCAAGCAATTGACGAGAAAGCCAATGAATGTTATCAACATGGAGATTCTCGTTATATGATAAATCAAGATGAAGAAGATTGAAAGAATTTTCACATGAATGATCAACAATATGGCCGAGGATGATAGCTTGGAAGTCATGATGGCTCAAATCCAAGTAATTCAAAAATTCAATTTGAAGCAAAGATACTAAGCGGAGTTTACCTGTGGGGCAGTGTGATTTGTAATCTTCACAAGTATTAGCAAAGCTAGAGAAATCCATAAAACAAGGCAGACGAAGCTCAATGACTCTGCCTGTGGTGGTCTTTGTCATTACAACGCACTTTCAAACCAAACATGCCTTTGGGGAGCATGATTGTAAATATTAGAAAGCATAGTACCAAAGCATTGGCAATATAGAAGGGGAAAGAGATATTCATGATTACTCAAGATATGGTTTGATGTGAAGGGATCTCTCCAATTACATATATTTATATAATGCTACCTCCGGTTCTAATTATAATCGTTTGTAGACTACAAACGAGGTCTTACAATTAGGACCAGAAGTAGTACTTTGGAAACTAGGGATAATGTTTAAATATTTAATTATTTTCATGAGGACAAAGCAATTTGACTTGACCAGAGTATATTTTCTAACACATAATGCTCACTCCACATACACGTGGATACCCGCAGAGAAAGCAAAAGCGACACATATATTAACTTCATTAATGAAAAAGTAGTGAATCTAGTTTACTTTTATTTCAAGTAAACATTTTAACGGTTTGGCTAATATTCTTCAATCCTAGTCAAACAGATCCTCCACATCTTCAGAGCTTCACTTTCTCACACGTTTTGGTCTTAATTAACCTATATTTTTCTTAATTCTTTCACACACACACATTTCTCACACATATGTAAAACGAATTCTATATATGTATTAGCTGGCGACAAAAATATCAGTACAAAAATAACGTAAGTATAAAAGATGTTATTTTATTCAATTTAACGTGTCTAGCTAACTTTCAACAATAAAATAATATAAATATTCAAATAACATATATAATTATTTGTGTCGAGGATGGAGCCAGCATATTTTTACAAAAAATCCTCTGATTTATCGAAACCTTTTTGGGCCTCTAAAATTGAGGTAGAATGGGAGGAGGGCAGCGGGGAGGGAAGAAAAGAAAATAGAGGGAAGAGAAAAATCCAAATAGGAGGAAACTCTAGGAAATAAATGCAAAATATTCTAGAAATCTTAAAAGTATATTTAAATATTTTGACATATTTTAGAATACTAAAAAAGATAACTATATCCTAAAAAGATAACAGATGAAAAGATTACAAAATAATATAATATAATATAATATAAATTTTCAAATGTGCAAAATCTTTAAAATCTTTTTCTTCTTTTTTGTGTTTCCATCATTTTCCCCACTCGAAGGAACTCTCCACCGAAGAGTAAAGTTGTTAAGGAAATTTTATGAGGTCAGTGATCAGGCAAGAGTTTGTTCAGTGGTTGACAATGATTCTTGCAATGGAAAGATTTTGTGATGGGAGGATGAAATATCAAGATTCATGGAGCTAAACAAAAGTGAGACTTTCAAGAATCAAATGATAAAATTAACGCTTAAAGATTCAATTGTTTTAACTAATTTTCGTGCCTGATATTCAAACCATTTTGGATAAAATATTTTACATAGTCTGACATCTAAATTATTTGCAATTTATCTAATTTCTTTACATTTTCTATTCATTACCAACCCCCGTGTCGTGGACTTCAATGCAGGAATCAAAGCCCACGCTACTAATTTTTAAAAAGGGGAGCATTATTGTCTTCAATGATATTTTTTAAAATAAAGTTTTGATGAACATTCCTGTAAATATATATATATATATATATGCCAACTGCTTTTTTGTTTTTACAGAAAACACCAAGAGTAGTTTATGGCAGGAAATTCTTCCTAATTAGATTTGCTTCATACATAAAACAATTTGTTGTTTGTTCTTTTTCATAAAGTATGTTGTTGATTATTAATGGAGCAGAAATGAAAATAGAGCAACATAGGAGAAACACCGAAAGACTGAGCTCAAAGTGTAATGTATTTCTTGTGTATTTGTGTGTACAGTAGCTAGCTCAATATATAGAGAACATTATCCAGTACAAGTGATACACGTGTAAAGCAAAAGATAAGAGAAATAAGAGAACATTTAATGTTATGGGCTTGTTTTGGGCTCTGTTCAAGTGTTAGGCCTCAATACTCCCTTGCAAGTTGAACTGGGCTAGAAGCACTGTGAGACTTGAACACAAAGTAGCGAATCGAGAAGTGGGCAGAGGTTTGGTGAGAATATCTGCAATTTGATCCCAGGAGGAAACATGTAGAATGTGTAAAAGGCCAGCAGTGAGTCTTTCTCGTACAAAATGATAGTCAAAGGAAATGCGTTTGGCCTTGGAGTGAAAAACTGGATTGGCTACAAGATAGGTAGCACCTAAATTATCATAGTAAAAGAAGGGTGCATCACGTAGATATATTCCAAGCTCATGTAACAAGTTTTACCCAAATAACCTCGCTAGCACTAGTGGCAATAGGTTTGTATTCAGCCTCAGTGCTTGATTGAGCCACCGTGGGTTTTTCTTTTTCCTTTAACTCCAGGTAATGAGATTAGGACCAAGATAAATGGCAAAGGCACCTATGGATCTGGAATATTTAGGGTTTCCTCTCCAGTCAGTGTCAGAGAAGGCAGAGAGGGTCAGAGAAGAAGAGGGCTTAATGTGAAGTGTAAAGTGAGAGGTGCCTCTTAGGTAACATAAAATACATTTGACAGCAGTCCAATGGTGTTCTTTTGGATGATGCATATACTAGCAAACATGGTTGATAGCAAAGGTAATATCAGGACAAGTAAAGCTCAAGTATTGGAGGCTGCCAACAATGCTTCTGTAGTGTTGAGGATCAGTAAAATTAGGACTAAGGGAAGCAGTAAGAATAAAGCTAGAGGCCATAGATGTAGAGACTGGGTGAGCTTTTAACATGTGGGCTTTCTCAAGAAGATCCAGGATATATTTGTGTTGAGAAAGAATAAGACCAGAGGGAGATAAAAGAACCTTAACACCCAAAAAATAATGCAATTTTCCAAGATCTTTTATGGGAAATGAGAGACCAAGTGCAATAATAAGTTCTTGAACTGCAACAATAGAGGACCCAGTAGCAATTATATCATCAACATAAATTAAAACATAGATGGTCCACTTTGAGTTATGACAAATAAACAACAAAGAATCTAACCAAGATGAAGAGAAACCAAGTTCAGACAGTTGAGCACTAAGGCAACCATACCAAGCACGAGGTGCTTGTTTCAGTCCATAGATGGCTTTGTGCAATTTACAGACATGATGTGGAAAGCTAGGGTGAACAAATTCAGGAGGTTGTTGCATGTAGACGTCTTCTGTGAGAAAACCATGAAGAAAGGCATTTTGAACATCTATCTGATTAATCACCCAACCTTTTGAAACGGCAAGGGATAGGATGAGGTAAATGGTTACTAGTTTAACAATTGGAGAAAAGGTGTCAGCGAAATCAATCCCAGGCTATTGATGAAAG